TTTTCCCCCTGCATGCGCTGTAACCCGAAAGTCTTTTGCATACCTGCTTGCACGCACTCAACATACTTCTGCCATGCAAGATCAGGGGAACGAGCCTGGAAGAGACGCTGCCACTCATCATCTGAAGTCTTGTTAAGCTCTGAGTCGATATTCTGGAAAGGCTCATCCCTCCGATAAGCTGTACGCAGGCACCTCATCAGCTCGCCAGGGTCGATCTTTTTTTGCGATGTCATGGGGTAGCCGTGGTTCCTGATGTCGATATCTATGTCCATGCCTACGGGTAAATGATCTCTGTAACGTCGGTCAGGGATTTTTTTGTAAACGCTTTCCCGAATGGTGAAGGCAACAACAGGTCTTAACGAGAGGTATGGCGGCCACTGGGACCGCTAGGTGGTCGATTCTGGACTGGCCTCCTGTGGGTCCGTAGTACGTGCTCCCTATGTCATGGAACGTCGTAGCTACTGCAAGTCCATTGTCCATGCAAAACTTCCTAAACGCCGTACCGTTCGTGTTCTCGCACTGCGGGCGTACTCCACCTAAACATACCGTGCGCGTGCGCTGCATGCTCCCATCCTCCTCCCTGTGCACCCCCAAGTCGCTGTTGATGCCCCCTCCCACGACTATGGCGCTCCTGACCCCCAGCCCGTCCAACTCCCTCTCCATCCACGAGAAAACCTTCTGGGCGACGACTTCTTTTTTGCCGTCGTGCATCGGGGCCAGGTGCACGCAGAAGATCACGAAGTCCAGGGTTTTGGTCTGTAGCCTAATGCCTCCTGCTCTTCCCTGGATGTCGCGCGGGGGGGTGAACACAGTGTGCAAGGCCGAGGAGGGGATCTTACTGCTGACAGGGATGGATACGCCACACGACGCCGAGACCAACTTTTTCATGAGGCCCATCCGTCTGCCGAAGTGAACTCCCCAGTGATACGCATGCATGTGTTCCTGGACAGGGTGGTCGAGCTGTGCGACGCGCTGTGTGCCCGAGAGTAGTATTATGTCCCAACTTTTTAGCTCATGAGAGATATCCTCGTGCCTCTCGAAGCTAGCCTCCAGGGGGTTGTAGGTAACGATGCGCATGATGGACTCTGAACGTGCTAAGCAACACAAGCAAGCAAGAGCGAGAGAAAATACATGCATGCAGAGCGTGCCCCCTGCGGATGTGACGTGGAAAGTGTACAGTAGTGCGCTCTGAGGTGTGAGTATCCAACCTAAGAACGGGCCGCACGCACGCGTTCGTGTCTGAAATTGCGGCTGAGGAGGAGGAGGAGGAGGAAGAGGAGGAGGAGGACGAGGAGGAGGCATACTTCACCGTTTTTGTCGGCATCTCTTGCGTCCGCACTGGCAGCAGCCTGTATGTGTTACCACATTCCGAAGTCTGCGCATTCAGACTTGTTCCGTCGTGGAACGCAACAAGCCTGGTGCCTTGCTGTCCGCCCAACGCAGAAAGAAACATAGACGGAGGAAAACGACAACGACACAAATGCACCCAAAAGGTACCAACGATGCTACAGTACGCCCTCCCGTCGCAGGTCCCCTCTCGTGAACGTTTTCCTTTCCAGCACTTCGACATTGGACGGCAAGGGGGGAGAGGAAGGGGGGGGTCTGGCTCCGACTCGAAACAGGCGCCAAAAGCAGCCAAGATCTACTCCGGGGGGGGAGGGGGGAGGGGGGGTGCGAGGGCCCGCGCCGATCGGCGAAGCAAGGAATCAGAAAACGACCACCAGATGTACTGCAAGCGCTCTGCCTCACTGCGCGAGGCGCCCCCCTGGAAGGCAGACCCCCCATGCCCAGCAGCTCGTGCCGGATGTGCCGGCCATGGGCAGGGCACTGCCCTCCATCCCTCGCGCTCTCTGCCGGGCCAATTGTCCACCACCACTACCACAAGTGATCAGGACGGGGGGAGGAAGGGATGATGGGGGAGTTCCTCCTCCCCTGTCTCCTCCGGCTCCACCTCCTCCTCCACTTCCTTCCTCTCCTGCCTGTGGCAGTGGTTGTGGAACATCGGCCCACCACGTTTGAATAATGATGGCAAGGTGGGCGCACAAAACCCCCGGGAAAAGGCCTAACGATCGTGCGCCGCATACAGCAACGCCCTCCATCCGTGCAGCGCCTCCCCGATCCCAGAACACCCTGCTGCGGGAACTGCATGTTGCAAACGAGCCGCCCCGCGTCTGTGTAGCGGCAGCACCGTGCTAAGCTCCTAGTGATCACATTCGGAGGCTTCCTAGGTGGGGTCGGAGTAGTATGGGGTCGGGGGATCACGCCGCGATGCATCGGCGATGCATCGGCGATGCATCGGCGACGTCGGCGATGCATCGGCGACGTCGACGTGAAACAAAGCGGGCTCCGCATCGAGCCGCATCGGCGATGCGGCAGGATCCTCCGACCCCATCGACGCCGACCCCATCTGTCTGGGAGGCCTACAGGGCAGGTTTTAATACATGGGATTAAAAAAAACGTCGGATTTGTAATACATGATTAATGTATGAATAATTTCATGCATGAACTCGTCGTTGTATTTAGTACTAAGTCCCTGCATGCTTAATACATGATCCGCACGCGGAGCATATATTAAAAACGGCACTGTAGGGCCAATCAAAAAATAGTATGGGGACTATGTTGGGAGTATTGTTTTGCCTTTGGGGGGGTTTTGTGGGGTATCTTATAATCTTCGTCGAAAACCCCCTGTATGGGGGACACGCCCGACATAGGGTCAAGCTCCTGGTGGCATCACGAGTGGCAGCGACCGCACCACTCCGACAGGGGCGCCGCACCCGCTGCTCGCAAGCCCGGCGGAAAAGTCTGCGGGGCGGCCGTGCGCGGCGCCCCGGCGAGAGGCCGACGCGGAGAGCGGCCCGCGCGCGCGCCGCTCCCGGTGCTGCGGCAGCTGACGGGAGCCCCCCCCCCCTTGGGCGGCGAGCGAGGGGGGAAGCGAGAAGACATAAAGTGGCATAAAGTGGCATACAAACATAAAAAGTGGCATAGACATAAAGTGGCATAAAGTGACATTGAAAAAAAAACATAACAGCGGCATAAACATAAAAATAGGGGGGCAAAAAGTGGCATAAACATAAAAACTCGGAGGTCCGCGCGGATTCCTCGGATCGGCGCTGGGGCCCCCCGGCGGCGTCTCCGGCGCCGCCCCTGGCGCGCTCCGCGCGCCAGGGATGGGGGTCCAGCGCCGTTCCGAGAAATCCGCGCGGACCTCCGAGTTTTTATATTCATGCCACTTTTTGTTCCCCTAGAGAAGGCCTTCTCAGAAGGCGGCGGCCTCAGGAAGAGCTCCCTGTGGGGCCACGAAGCGTGTGAGGGGTGTGCCGAGATGGGGCGGTGGTGCCATGCGAGCCCTCCCACCGGGGCCTGCGGTGGAGCTCCCTACGGGGCCACGAAGCGTGTGAGGGGTGTACGTACCGAGATGCCATGCCAACCCTCCCACTGGGGCCTTCGGTGGAGCTCCCTATGGGGCCACGAAACGTGTGAGGGGTGTGCCGACATGGGGCGGTGGTGCCATGCGAGCCCTCCCACTGAGGCCTTAGGTGGATCTCCCCATGGGGCCACAGAGGGCGTGAGGGATGTGCCGGAAAGGGGGCGGCGGCTACATGCCAACCCTCCCACTGGGGCTTTAGGTGGAGCTCCCCATGGGCCACGAAACGTGGGAGGGGTGTGCCGACATGGGGCGGTGGTGCCATGCGAACCCTCCCGCTGGGGCCTTCGGTGGATCTCCCTATGGGGCCACGAAGCGTGTGAGGGGTGTACCGAAATGGGGCGGCGGTGCCATGCGAACCCTCCCACTGGGGCCTTCGGTGGAGCTCCCTAACGTTTTGATGGGTGTGCCGAAATGGGGCGGTGGTGCCATACGAACCCTCCCACTGTGGCCTTAGGTGGATCTCCCTATGGTGCCACGAAACTTGCGAGGGGCGTGCCAACATGGACATGAGGAGGGCAGAGGCAGGGAGGGAGGAGGCAGGAGGGACGGGGGGGAGGAAGGAAGGAATGCGGGGCGCTGTCTCTTCAAAACGAGGACCCGACACCACAGGATACTTGGACCAAAAACTGGAGGCTCAAACGACTCGCTTTGACCTGGGAGCCGACCACTGGGAAACGAGACCTCAGAAGGGGTCCAGGTCGAGGTCAAGCGAGGGAGGTTCATCAGGGGGGAATGCACTTCCACCCAGCGTCCTGGAACTGCACCTCTGTGCCAAAAGCAAGGCAACTCATCACAGTCCTGACGAGCACGCTCGATGATAGAGGATAGAGTTGTGGACAGTATGCTCACGGAGGGGCGGAGGCGGGAGCAGGCGAAGGCATGAGAAATAGGAGGAACAAGGGAAAGAGCAAGGGGAGGATAAGCAGCAGCAGGAGTAGAACAGAGGAGGATAAGCAGCAGCAGGAGGGGAGAAACGAGGGGGTGCGGACCGAGGCTTCCGCCGAGAACCAAGAATGCCGCCCAGACGACCTCGAACCCCTGGATCCAAGGCCGTCCACAGCGGCAGCCACACCGAAAACCGACCGGACCGCGAGACCGCACACCGACCGACACCGACAGACCGCAGGCAGCCTGAAGAAGAGCGCGGCGGCGCGGCAACGACACGAGCACCGACCGGACCGAGCCGACCGAACGCCACCGACTGCGACGCCGCCGCACCGACCGTACCACGGAACAGCCCTGAAAGCCCTGGGTCCCTCCCTCGGGCGCCCAGACACATGCGACGTCCTGATCTTTTCGGGACGGCAGCCCTGGAAGTGCCGACCCTTTCCCCGGGACCGGCGTTTCGTCCCGGGTCGCTTCGAGGGCCCCCCCCGGGGCCGAAGACGGCCAGAGAAACCTCCCCGCCCGGCATTGTCACGACGCGATCGTGCCTGGGCCCCTCCCCTCCCTCGTCGGCATCTGCTCTGGGCGACACCTGCAGACTGCAGGTGTCGCCCAGGGAGGGGGCGAGGCCGGCGAAGGGCGAGGCTGGCGGAGCGGGGTCCGGGCGGGCCGCCGTGCAGGCCCCCGCGGGGATGTGAGGGTGTGCAAGGGCTGGTCGCCCGGGACGGTGGAGCGGAAGGCGCGCACGGCGAAGACGGGGGAGCCGTTTTCTCATTCGGCGTTTCGCCACACGGGGCCCAGACGTGGTCGCGTCGTGAACAAAAATCGGGACGGGAGGCTTCTCTGGCCGTCGGCGGCCCCGGGGGGGGGCCCTCGCGGGGGCCTCGGGGCCGTCAGGAGAAACGGCCCGGGACGAAAAACTGGTCCCGGGGAGAGGGTCGGCACTTCCAGGGCCGCCGTCCCGAAAAAAGCAGGACGTCGCACGTCTGGGGCCCGTTTTCTTATTCGGCGTTTCGGCATTGGGCGGAAGGGGGGACAGGGGGGGGGGGTCTGGCTCCAGACCTCAGCTTAGTGCCGCGGTTTGCAGCAGGGCGTCCATTGTGGGGGGCACTCCACCTGTCCGAAACAGGCGCCCCGAAACAGCCAAGAACCACTCTTGGGGTGGGGGGAGAGGGGGGTGGATGGCCCGCGCCGATCGGCAAAACAGTGAATGAAAAAACAATCACATGGCGCGGGGAATGTCTCGGACGCAGTTGAGGAAGTGAAGGTAGATGGCGGCGTCGACGATGACGGTCGGCAGGCTCTTCTGTTCGTTGAAGTTTGGGCGGGGCTCGAGCTGCTGGCCGATGTACAGGAGGATGATGAACTGGCAGAGTGTCTGAACTGTTCAGCCCCATCGAACACGCCCTCAGGCCCCTGACATGACCTCCCATGTCCTTCCGTCGGATACAGTATCACTCGGGGCCCGTTTCCTTGAGCTGGGCCCATGGAGGCTCGTTTCGGGCGAAAGACGTGAAACAACTTGTTAGGATGGAAAGCCCGCTCCAGCAATTGGAGTGGGAGCTCCAGGGACGCCGTTTAGAAGAGACGTGGCGTGGGAAGCGTGGAAATATCATCTCGCGTCCTTTCCCCTCTCCCTATCCCTTACCCACCCCTTCCCACCCATCCTTCTGACGCGTAACCCTTACGCGCCACATCCCCCCTTCGGCTGTCGTTAGCAGCGGCGATGCGAACACATGACTGTCTAGTAGCGCACTCATCACCCCCTGTAACTAGGCAGTCAGTTGTGCCACTGGGAACAATGAATACGAAACGCTGTCCATTATTGACCTCTGTTTCGCCTAGATGCAAAGCAAGTGTTCGAAGCGATGAAGGACCTTTCTGAGCAGCCGACGTGCTGTCAATGATGTCTGCCGAGGCGTCGTTTACCCACTCCGCTCGTCAAAGGCGGTATACCTGATATGTGGGCGTGGACCAGATGCGACTCCAAACCTTGGCGACGGGTGGACGGAAGCCGACAAGCAGCACGACGAACTTGCGAACTAATGAACGGATGAGAGACTACATGAACAAAAAGCCTACATGAGAAATGAATCTCAAAAGCCTTTGGGGCTAAGATGGTCTAACAGGTCCTTTCCTCTTCCAAGAACCCTTTTACCTTCGGGAAGGTTCACCTCCCCTCCCCGCCCTGGGTCTGGACGGGGTGGGGGGACGGAGGGGTTAGAGCGTCCAAGATGGCCCAAGATGGCTCCAAGAGGGCCTACGATGCTCCAAGATGGCCACCAAGGCGGCTCAAGATTGCCGAAAATGGTTCAATATAGCGTCCGACATACCTCAAAGAGGCCCGACGAGGGCCACAAGACGGTCCCAAGTGCTCTCGGAGCCCCACCACGACCTCCAAAAGAAACCCAAATCCTTCAAACACTTAGGGATAACCAATTAGTGTTGCCTTCTCGCCTTTGCGCTTCCGATGCACATGTAAGGCCTCAAGATGGCCCCAAGATGGCCCAAGACAGGCTCAAGAGGGGCCCAAGAGGCCACCAGACAGCCCCCAAAACGCCCAAGCGCGGCCCCAGACCGCCCTATGAGGGCTCCGCAAGGGGGGGAGGGAAATCGAGAGCCCCCCCTCCTTTAATCGACGCCCTCCATGATGGCCTCAAGAGGCCCTCCAGGGCTCCTAGGAGGGAGAGAGCCCCTAAAGGGCCCCAAGACGACCCCACGACGGCCCCAAGAGCACCCCAAGAGCGTCCCACGAGGGCCCCAAGAGGCGGTCTGTCTCATCCTCTTCCTCCTCCTCCGGTTCCTCCTCCTCCTCCTCCTCCTTCTCCTCCTCCTCCCCTCGCCCCCTCGCGGGCAAACGGGGATTGCCCGAATTCGCCGGCCCAACGGGCCAGGGCGTGCTAAGATCTCCGGTACCTGGTTAACAGTATTTCTAGTTCGCGCGCGCGGGGCGGCCCCTGGGGGTCCCCGGACGAAAAGTACCCCGGCAAGGTCCCGGCAAGGTCGGGTCAGAGATGCCGGAGTTCTGCTTCGGAGTCCAAGAGGGCTCCAGATCGGTCCAAGAGGGCCCCGAGAAGCTTTCTAGACGGTCCAAGAGAGGCCCGAGACGGCCAAAGATCGCCCGAAGACGCCCCAGATGGCCCCAAGACAGCCCAAGAGGCCTCCAAGACGCTCCAAGGGCCTTCCAAGAGGCCTCCGAAGAGGGCCCCAAGTTGCCAAAATCGTTGATTTTCATTGGTTTTTTCTATGTTTTTTGCGTTCTGGCCTTTTCGCTTCCGGACGCTCCAAGAGGGCCCAAGAGGCCTTCAAGACTGCTCCAAGACGGCCCACGAGGCTCCCAAGACGGCCCCGGAGCGGCCCAAGAGCGCCCCCCAGACGGCCCAAGTGCTGCCCAAGGCGGACCAAGAGGCCCCAAGACGGGCCCAAGAGGGGCTCAAGAAGGGAACCGAGAACTGAAAAATCGAGCCCTCCGCCCCAGAAGGCGCCCAGGACCCCGAAAGAGGCCCCAAGAGACTCTCCAAGACACCCCCAAGACGCCCCAATAAGCTCCCGTGAGGCCCCAAGAGGACCAACAACGTCAGGCCCCAGGCCCCAAGAGGACCAACAAATACCGCCAAGAGCCCGCCGAAAGCCCCCCAAGAGACCGTCACGAGAGCTCAGGAGGCCCCCTGGAGGCCTCCCGAGTTCTCCAAGAGGCCTAAAAAGAGGCGCCAAGAGGCCCCAAACGGCCCCACCGAGGCTCCAAGAGGCCACGAACGCGCAAGCAAACGCCTGCGATGGCACAATACGGGCCGGCGGAATGAGCGAAGCGATTAATAATACTTCAAGTCTCATTATCCTTCTTCTACTCCCCTTCTCCATCTCGCGAAAATGAAACGGTGTTTTCAACGTGGCAATGGCCCCTGGAGAGTTCAGCTAACTCTGGCTTGGCCTCGTCGCTTCAGCCCTCTGGGTCAAAATGCTTTGAGCCAAATGCTAGTCTCCTTCTCCTTCTTGTACGCCTCTTCTCCGTCCACCCTACCCCCACAGCGTCCCCCCCGTCTGACCGTGGCACAGGGCTGGCCAGCGGCAGTCGTCGTCGTCGTCGTCGTTGTTGTCGTCGCCGTAGTCATTGTCGTCGTCGTCCTGTTCCGCCTCCTCCGTTCCTTTTCATTGTAAATAACTTCCCCCTGTCGCACCCCGAAACCAGGTTTTAGGACGGGCCGGGCGTTTCGCCTGAGACCATGTATGACTCTGAAGCTTAAACATTGGCAACAGCTTCACAGTTGGAAGGCGGGTGGTGTTCAAAATGTGGCTCTCGCCTTAGCGCCGCGCACATTCGTTTCAATGATTGCACGAATTTCACGGATTGAGGGCGAGTCGTTTGCAACATGTGCCTCTCGCCTTAGCGCCACGCACACTCGTCTTAAACACTTGCAAGAGTTTCACGGATTGAGAGCGGTTCCTTTTTTAAATGTGGCTCGCCTTAGCGCCGCGCACATTCGTCTTAAACATTTGTAAGAGTTTTGACGGGCTCCCATGATGAGCACACCAGAAATTTCGTTTTGGAAGGATTCAGGCTTATGAGGGTGCACAAGTTATGTTGATTCGCGGTATTCAAGTTCCAGGAATGGTGTTCTGGCGCGATTCATGATCGTGAAGACACAACAGTCAGATTGATCCGTGCCGTTGGAATCCCGAGAACAATGTGTTGGCATGCTTCAGGGTCTTCAAACAGTTGCCTTCCAACGAGGCAATTCCCTCAGTAACAATGAACCGTTGTAGCGGCCTATGAGGAGGGAGCTTGGAGGGAGGATGTGTTCCAACATCGTTGATGCCTCTTGGGTTTACACTGGTCCTCCTCCTCCACCTTTTCCTACTCCGTCTCCGCCCCCCCACCCCCGCAGCATCCCTCCCGCCTGTTGCTTCATCATCCCCGCCAGAGGTCTCGCCGCGGGTCTCTGGAGGTTCCCGCGGGCTTGCACGGAGGCCTCCAGAATAATCCGAGGCCCAAAGACGTCAAAAACTAACTTCGGGCTGCTTTCATTGATGGGGGGAGGTTTCCTTGAGGGAGAAGCCCAGAGGTCCGACATCGTCAAACACGGATTTCGGGGGTTACTTGAAGGGAAGGGGGGGGCGATAGATGCGGCGGGAGGGAAACGTGCACCCTGCGTGCCCCGTTTGGGGCCCCAGGGGGTCCCCCCGTTTGGGGCCCCAGGGGGGCCCCACTTAGGCTCCCTGCGGGCACGAGACGCGCACCAATTCTTCACCCTCCAATGTGTTGCATCCGCATTGCTCGACGCCCGACTCCTCTCCTCCCTCGATTTTCCGGGAAGAGGGGGGTCTGAACACCAGCGGTTCCTGGAGGAAGAACGCCTGGCACGCGATGAGAACCACCGTGGACATGTCCTTGGCCTTGCTGACCAGGCAGAGGCCGCTGATTCCAAACGCGTCCACCAGCTCGTCGCCCGTCATCTGAAGAGAAGGAGGAGGACATCGACGACACGGGTGAGGGAGGAGGAGGAGAAGCAGTGTGACACGGAGGAAAAGGATGATGCTGTGAGGGAGAGGAGATCGAGGGTGATGGGAAACAGGAGGAAGAGGAGGAGGAGGAGGAGGAGGAGGAGGATAAGGGAGGAGGTTACTGACGAGGGGAATGAGCATGATGAGGGAAAATAAGGAGCAGAAACAGTAGAAGGGTAAGATGAAGAGACATGCACACACAATATATATATATATATGTAAATATACATACATACATACATACATACATACATACATACATACATACATACATACATACATACATACATACATACATACATACATACATACATACATACATACATGTACAACTACATACGCATAGACACACGAAAGAAGGCATAGCAAAGAACACGATGGAAATGAGGCTCAGCGGAGTGATATGATGACGGTGATGGTCGGTCGAATCGAAGCTATTGGAACCCATCCTATCAGGCATAGCTGTTACGCTTCGCGCAAAGAGCTCTGACAGGGAGGATGTGCACTCACCAGTGCTCTCTGCTCCAATGGTGATTATTCCCTGAGAATGGCACTGGCCAGGACGGCGGTGATGATGAAGATGAAGACGAATGTCGTGGGACGAACGGAGACATACTTGGAGGCGCGCGTCCGACCCGAACACATAGTATACCCATATTGTAGTATATCGTTACCCGAGCGGTGTGGTCAGAAAGCGCCCGCCACGACGCGTATACTTTAAGACTTCTCGGCGCGCGCGTCGCTCCTGGGGGGGCGACGCACACATAGTGCTAGTATGTTGGGGTGACGCCGATGTCGGGCTCTCGGCTAGCAGCGACCCTGCACGGGCGATCCGCCCGAGGGCATCGAGCAGCCCAGCGCGCAGCCCACGACACCGCGCCGCGGGTGGCAACGGGACTGTGGCCACAAGGCCGTCCGCGGCGACGGCATAACCGAAAATCAACCGAACCGACAGCGAAACCGAAACCAAACGAAACCGACAGGCCCCAGGCAGTCTAGAGAAAGGCGCCTCCGACGCGGCAACGACTCGACAACCGACCAAAACCGAGACGACCGACCGCAACCGACTGCGACGCAGCCGAACCGACCGAGCCGCGAGCACCCCTCGAGAGGGCGCATGACAGGATGAAGGGGCCCTGGGACACACAAATAAATACACACAAATAACAGGATTCCCTATATTTTCCAATATTTTCTAGGTTTTTGTGTTCCGCACCACTTCCCATATTCTCCCACATTTTCTTGGAACTCGTGAGTTTACAGGCGAGCGCTTTTGTGTCAATCTTCGCGATGGCGGCCGTGACCGGCCCTGGCCCCCCGACCATCCGGTAACGTCACGACTCGTGCCGGCGCCGTCTGCGAACGCCTCGGAATACAGGGCAGTTTTTCACACATGGGATCTTTTTAATATAGGAGTTTGAATACATGAGTAATTTACGAATAAATCTATGCATGAACTCATCGCTGTTTTTAGTACGTGCTAAATCCCTGCCTTTTTCTAATACATGATCCGCACGCGGAGCATGTATTAACACCGGCGCTGTAAGGAGCAAGGGGCCCTATAAGACACCCCACCAGACATGGGCACAAAAATCCCAGGATACCCTATCTTGTTCCCACGTTTTTTCTTGGTCTCTCCGTCTTCCCCCCCCCCCACGTCCCCCCATGTTTTGTTCCTGGGAGTCGAGACGATGCACCGTGTCCGTGTGCGAGGTTCCCTCCTCGGGAGCGTCCGCGCGGACTTCTCGGAGCGGCGCCGGGCCCCAGCGCTCTCCGCGCGCGCGCCCCTTTGAAGCGCGTGCCAGGGGCGCGCTCTCCAGGGGCGCGCGCTCCAGGGGGGGCCCCGGGCGCGCCGCTCCCAGAGAGCCGCGCGGGCCTCCTCCGAGAGGAATCTGAAGGAGCCCTGGGACACACAAATTCGCCGGCCCATCGGGCCAGAGGCGTGCGAAGATCTCCGGTAACTGGTTAACCATAGTTCTAGTTCGCGCGCGCGGGGCGGCCCCTGGGGGTCCCCCGGCGAAAAGCACCCCGACCGAAGCCCGGGAACTATTACTCAGAGGTGGTTTCCCTCCTGGGTGCGGCCTTCCACGCCCCCTGGAGCGCGCCAAGAGGGCTAAAAGAGGCCCCCAAGACGGTCCAAGAGGGTTCCGAATCACCGAACGATCGGCCCAAGACGCCCAACGCGGCGTCAAGACGGCCCAACAGGCCTCCAAGACGTCCCAAGAGAGCCCCGACCCTTCCCAAGAGAGCCCCAAGAGGCAAAAATCAATGATTTGCCTTAGGTTTTTGAAGGTTTTTGGCTTCCTCGCCTTTTCGCCTTTGCGACGCTCCAAGACGGCCCAAGAGGCCCCCAAGACCACCCCAAGACGGCCCAAGAGGCCCCCAAGAGAGCCCCAAGACCGCCCAAGAGGGCCCCAAGACAGCCTCAAAGGCGCCCAAGAGGGCCCCAAGAGGGCCCCAAGAGGGGCCCAAGATGGAGACCACGAGCCGAAAATCCGAGCCTTCCGCTCCAAGAGGCCTCCAGGACGCCCCAAGAGGCCCCCAAGAGGCCCCGAGAGGCGCCAAGAGGCCCGAAAGAGACCCCAAAAGGCTCCAAAACGGAGCCCCAAGAGGCCAGCCGCGCTCCCCTCAGCAAAAAGCTCTCGGCGAAGTCGGTTACTTGCGCCCCCCCTGCTGCTCCATCACTCTCCTCTGGCCCCTCTCTCCGCTTCACACCCCTCGTACATTTGCCTCCTCCCCCTTCCCCCACTGAAGCTGCACACTCCCTCCCCCGCCTCCTCCTTTTTCTTATCCTCCTCCTCCTCCTGCTCCGCTTTCCCCCTCCTTTTCTCGCCAATGCACTGTCGCCACTCTGCACTGCGACCACCCCCTTTTGCTCCCTTCCTTCCAAGCCCACGCAGACTCTCTCTCTCTCTCTCTCTCTCTTCCCTCTCACGTCGAGGCGTCGAGGGGCATACCTGTCGCAACATTACACTGTGTTCATGGCCCCCGCATGAGCGTCCACGAGCAACGAGCCCCCACAAAGACGCCAGGGACACCCCAGAGCGGCACAACCTAGAAGCCCCGTGGAAACAACGATTCCCCCGACACCTCAAAAGGTCGACACGAAGCTGTTTCGCGGGGGCAGCTTCGACACCACCATCCCGAACGCAACGCCTCAGAAAATTACCCTGCGACGTACCCATCCCACGTGCATCAAATGGCAAGAGGAGTATGCCGACATTAGCAGGAACAACGACAGTGTAGACGCGGCGATTTGCTGCGCAAGCTACATGGGATGCGCACGCGTTGCACGATTCACAGGACGACGATCGAAAGAACGAGGCTTGAGGCCCCAGGATCGAAGAAGAACGGGCGCGGGAACGAGGGGTAGGAGAGGGATGGAATGGAGGGCGGGGGGGGGCGAAAGGCCATCGCGGAAGCAGCAGCATGCATGGAGAAGGTGAGGCGGGGAATAGGACGACGATGAAAGTGGCGGGAGGAGACAGAAGACTGCCGCGTTTTTCAAGTGCGAGCTAAACCCGCAGCGCTGCCTGCGCCATGTCGTCGCAGAGTTCCACATGATAAAACTTGTTTAGAGTGCAAGGAACGAGCGAGGCGTAGCTCGCCCGCTAGCTTCTCCGCCTCCTTCCCGCACATTTCAGCGCGGGAGCTGAACGCTCGCAGGCGCGCCGCCAGGTCTGCGGGCGGCCCGCGGGAAAGAAACTCAAGGCCGGGGTCGCGTATCATCAATCGGTTGTCCATCGTCCAAAGTTGCACTGGCGACGTACTGGTTGAACGCGGAGCGAGCAGCATCACGCGCGTGCCTGAACGCCACGCAGGTACAGTGCACGCGCGATTGGGACTTCAGGTCGATCACGCGCGTCTCCACCAGGCTTGGCAACACCACGCGACTGAGGATCTCACTGCGGTCTGCCATGCTGCTGTCCGCGAATGCAATGCGCTGCCTGCAAGTAAGGCGGCGGCGTCCACTTGTCTCAGAAGATGTTCCCGCGGGCCCGAAGGGCGACCGCCAGCTCGAGCCGCGGCGCCGGCAGGCCAGATAAGGATCATGCAACAGCAAAGACGATGACAGAGCAACGAGGTATCGGCGAGTGCATGACCGGCCTCCGTTTCCTGCACTTCTTTCCTGTAGTTCCCCTAGCTCATCGAGCTCAGCAGATGTTTCTGCGGGTCCGAAGGACGACCGCCAGCTCGAGTCGCAGCGCCACGTGGCACGAACCGCAGAGCAAGGGCACGCGAGCATTGCTCGTGGTCAGAATCTGAGTCCCCGTGGTGCCTCACTCCGCTGGCCACCCACCAGCAGCCCTCGAAAGTGGCGACAGTTTCACAGATCGCAGCCGCCCAGGGGTGGCGAGGTCTAATCTGAGTCCCCGTGGTGCCTCACTCCGCTGGACCCACCAGCAGCCTCGAAAGTGGCGACAGTTTCACACAGGGATGGCGAGGTCTAATCTGAGTCCCCGTGGTGCCTCACTCCGCTGGACCCACCAGCAACCCTCGAAAGTGGCGACAGTTTCACAGATCGCACCCCTCAGAGATGGCGAGGTCTAATCTGAGTCCCCGTGGTGCCTCACTCCGCTGGACCCACCAGCAGCCCTCGAAAGTGGCGACAGTTTCACAGATCGCAGCCCCCCAGAGATGGCGAGGTCTAATCTGAGTCCCCGTGGTGCCTCACTCCGCTGGACCCACCAGCAGCCCTCGAAAGTGGTGACAGTTTCACAGATCGCAGCCCCCCCCAGAGATGGCGAGGTCTAATCTGAGTCCCCGTGGTGCCTCACTCCGCTGGACCCACCAGCAGCCCTCGAAAGTGGCGACAGTTTCACAGATCGCAGCCCCCCCCCAGGGATGGCGAGGTCTAATCTGAGTCCCCGTGGTGCCTCACTCCGCTGGACCCACCAGCAGCCCTCGAAAGTGGTGACAGTTCCGCAGATCGCAGCCCGCCAGGGATGACGTGAAAGGCAAGAGAAGAGAAGAGGAGGAGCGAAGAGAGGAGGAGAAGGCAAGCAAGAGAGGAGAGGAGGAGGGAAGAGAGGGGGGGGGGCGGGAAGAGGAGAACGGAGACCGCAGTGCTCTATTCAAAACGAGTACCCATCGCAGGAGGGTTGGGAAAAAACATGCGCCGACCCCTGCAGCTCCGCACTGCCGACGACCTCTCGCCCAATTGACCGCGGTGCCTCATCATGGGCCGGCGGAATGAGCGAAGCGATGAAAAAAATACACACAAATAACAGGATTCCCCATATTTTCCCCCTATATCTTATGGTTTTCTGGGTTTTTGTCTTCCCCCCCCCCCACTTCCCATATTTTCCCATATTTTCCTGGGATCGACGATTAATTGTGTCTGTGTGTTTCTTTCCATCGTGAGAATCGTGCTCAGGTGCCGTGGCGCTGCTCTTCCGCAGTCGGGGCGCTGGCCTGAGGTTATGTCGGGCCTGTCCCCCTACAGGGGGATCTTCGACGAAAGATAAAAAATACTCCAAACATAGTCGAACAATAGTCCAAGAATAGTCTGGGGACAAATTTTTCCGTTTCTTTTGACCCTCTTGGGGTATGTTTGGGGTATGTTTTACTTTTCGTCGAAACTCCCCCTGCAGGGGGGACACGCCCGACATAAGCCTAAGGAACGATGCATCAGGAACGAGGCCCCTTTCTCCCAAAGTGAAACTTCGACTTCCCATCGAACACCAAAGGAAAGCCTGAGGCGAGCTTTCCGCGCGCCAGGGGCGCGCTCCAGGGGGGGCCCCTGGCGACGCTCCTCGGATCGCGCCTATGTGCCGTTGCGCTGTGCTTCCGCAGTCGGGGCGTTGGCCTGAGGAACGACGAATCAGGAACGAGGCCCCGTTCTCCCATGAGTGCAACTTCGACTTCCCATCGAACACCAGAGGGAAGCCCGAGGCGGGCCGTGAAACAATCAAGGAGCACGGAGCCTCTCCCCAACGCATAGAGTTCCCTCATCAGCGCCTCGACGGTGTGCCGTTGTGCTGCTCTTCTCAGAGGCCTCCCGGATCAGCTCCCAGAAGACGGGGTCGGAGATCGCGCGCCTCGCCAATGCATCGCCGATGCATCGGCGACGCATCGGCGACGTCGGCGACGCACCGGCGCCATCGGCGTGGAGAACATCGGGCTCCACACCGAGCCGCATCGCAGATGCATCGGTGATGCGGCGCAATCCCCCGACCCAATCTACTCCAAGTCCATCCAGGAGGCCTGAAGCTCAGGAGGAGCCAAAGCGCGTCCTGGCTCCTGTCGGCGATGCGGCGCGATCCCCCGACCCCATCTCCTCCGACCCCCCCTAGGAGACCAAGAACCCAAGAGGAGCGAAAGCAGAGGATTTAAAAACCGGCATAAACAGCATCAACTTTTGACGGTCCGCGCAGATTTCTTGGATCTGGCGGCGCGCCGCCGGGGGCCCACCGCGGAGCCAAGAGATCCGCGCGGACCGCCAAGAGCTCATGCTTCCGGCGGTTTGGTCTTCGAATCCTAGGAGGCCTAAGGAACCCGGGAGGAGCGAAAGCAGAGGATCAAAAACCCGCATAAGCTTCAACTTTTGACGGTCCGCGCAGACTTCTTGGATCTGCGCTGGGGCGGCACGCCGCCGGGGGCCCCGCGCGGAGCCAAGAACTCCGCGCGGACCGCCAAGAGTTCATGCTTCCGGCGGTTTGGTCTTCGAATCTATGAAGGGGCCCCAGGACACACAAATAAATACACACACAAATAAAAGGATTTCCCATAATTCCCACATTTTTTGGGTTTTTGTCTTCCCCCCCCCTGCCCACATTTTCCACATTTTCTGGGGAATCGACGATTAATTGTGTCTGTATGTTTCTTTCCCTCCTGAATCTAGGAGGCCTAAAGGACCCAGGAGGAGCGAAAGCGCGTCCTCGATCACGTCGCCGTCCTCGCCGCCGCTGGTGCCGGTGCCGCTCCCGCTCCCGCTCGGGCTGCTCGAGCGCTCATGGCTCGCCTTGTGCTGGTGCGCCTGTCGCCGCGGGCTCCGAAGGAGACGGGCGAGCATCGGGAACCCATAAACCGAAGCGGTACGGTAGAGGGAAACAATTACTGAACACTCCCCCTCCCCCCAACTCAATGTTGGCACGCGCGGAAAACACTGCGGTCGAAGTGCATCTCACCAGACCCTCCGCCAACTTTGAACATTGGGGGGAGGGGGGAGGCGTTGACAGATGAATTTGGCACGAGTGTTCGCTAATTTGTTCCGAGGCCTGTGGGCATGTTGCCCGGCACGCGGCTACGCTCGAACTGAT